TTATTTCCTCTTGTCTCCATGAGGAAGTGGAACAGAATTCTTCCTCCGTAAGCCATGCGTGTTGTAAGAGGTGACTAAAATGCCAGGAGCAAGGGGCTAGTAACCCCTTCTCCTGTATGAATTACTAAATTTGAAAAGGGAAACTTTTGTTTTTCTTTTTGGGCCACCCTGCCTTGGTGGGATACAGCCAGTTTGTTGAAAGAAGAAAGAAGATCTATATTACTTACACTTGCAAGTAATCTTAGCTGATCTATCTTATTTCTTAGACTCCTACTATTTGTATAGTAAACCTTAAGGGAGCTAGTCACTCATTGCCCTCTGCTCTCTCTCTTTGTTTGTTGATCAACTGATTTGCCATTCCTAGATGGACCTGCCAAATATGGACCAGTAGGCCTGTTACAGTGTTCCTCCTTTCCTATGTTTTTATATAAACTATTATGCTCTTCAAACATCTCTGCTCACTTTTTACTATGCTCTAATCTATTCATAACTCACCTATGGTATCTGTTCATGAGTATAACCAACAGCTGATCATTTTAAACCTGTTGTTACTCAATAAAAACCAACTCTTGGAACAATTGCTCATTCAGTCTGCAGGCAAAATAACCCCCTCCCCCTTCCCTATTCAAAAGTTTAGATCTGCCTAACATGCACAATATTCACACTTTTTAATGTGCTATGTTTACAGGAAACTCAATACAAACATTAACCAAAAGCCTAAATTCTATCCAGAGAACTGCAATCCAACACACAGACGCAATATGAGGAATGAATGTTTCTTTGACTTTCCAAGTGTACAACTCAATTTGTACAAGAGTGGTATGCAATACCAACAAGATGAAATTTAGACACGTGAAACATCTGGGTATCTTTATTGTAGACATTTCACCATCCAGTGGATTTATCAATACAAATTCTAGGACATAATTTGAAGACAATAGAACTATATACAGAAGATGAGGTAATCAGTCCCTCAGCCTTGGAGTTGGTATGGAGAGCACCATGGTCATGGAGATTCTCGAGCAAAGGCAAGGAGGCCAGCGCTTATATACCGATGCCAGGTGGAAAGGGACATGTAGCAGATGAGGGCATAGTCACTGGTAGGCGGGATTCCCCAGCAGAAGTAGGTCAGACCCAAAGAGATGGGTTAACTGTAGTAGTAGGTTATGTACATGTCCTCAGAATCAAGAATTCCATGATGTTGCAGTGTCTGACAAGTTGTACAATTTCAACACCCCAATGCAACCACTCCATAAAATGAAGGTCATTGAACCAATGTAATTTCAATGTTATTTATTTGTAATTGACCAATTATTCATTTGTAACCTGTCTCGCCATAATTTTGACTGTAATGAACTACCCAAGCTATACTAGGTCTAGATGTAAGTACAATGGACCCTTGGCTAACAGTATCAATCTGTTCCCGAGAGCTCATCGCTAGACGAAATTATCGTTAGCCGAATTAATTTTCCCCATAAGAAATAATGGAAATCCAATTAATCCATTCCAGACAGCCAAAAGTATTAAAAAAATAAAATTTTTTTCATGAAATATACATTTCCCTACAAAGAAAACAATGAGACATGCACAATAACTATATAAATAAATGTTAAAATGACACTTACCTTTATTGAAGAGTATGATGAGTGATGAGACACTGTTTTTCTTGAACACACTGGGATTTTCAGAGTGATACATGAGTAAAGGCTTCACTTTGCAATCCCCACTAGCATTACAAGAAAACAAGAAAGTTAGCCTGTCTTTCATAGGCCTGTGTCCTGGGAGTGCTTTTCCTCCTGAGTAATGTAGGTCCTGTTTGGATTTTCTTCCAGAATAGGCCTGTTTCGTCACAATTAAACACTTGTTGGGGTGGGGTTGGAATTTTTCAGCTTCACCACGTCTTATCACACTGTGTATGCCACTATGATTCTTAAATCTCTCAAACCAACCTTTGCTGGCCTTAAATTCACCAATATGAGCACTAGTCCAGCATTTTTTCCTGTTCACCTGGGTGTTACTTGACTGGTGTGGGTCGCATCCTGGGGGACAAGATTAAGGACCCCAATGGATATAAGTTATAGTTCTCGATGACTGACTGACTTTCTTGGGTTATCCTGGGTGGCTAACCCTCTGGGGTTAATTGTTTCTCAGTAATTGTTTCTCATTAAGCCACACCAACAACAGCCTCCACATCTTCAAGTAGTACAGCTGACAGTGGTGCAGCAACAGCTGATGGTGGTGCAGCAGCAGCTGACCGTGGAACGATAGTATTTCAATAGTATTTCTCACCCCTTTTACCACAGGGTTGGCACTAGAAGCTTTCTTTGGGCCCATGGTGGCTTATTTAGCAGTTACAAGCACTATAAACAATGGAATAATACAAAATGTATCGAATGTATGCATGAAATTGGCCACCCTGGCTTGTAAACAATTATGGCAGGGCAGCTGAGGCACTCAGGCTGGATGGACAGGTTCAGGACGAATCACGTTGGGCGAGTTTTTTATCGTTAGCCAGGCCAAAATTTTTACGCTCAAACGCTTCGTTGGGCGGATTTAACGTTATGTGATGCGTTCGTTAGCCGAGGGTCCACCGTAGCATTAATGTCTTATGATCAGTTTGCCTGAAATGAATTTGAATAATTTGTAGCTTTCTTATGAGTCTAATATTGTGTTGAATTATATCTGTAATATAATAAAATCAAATTCAAAATATAATAATTCTGAATGTACAAAAACTGTAATTCTTCATAGGAAAGTAGAAAAGAATCATTCTGCCAAAAGCCATGTGTATTGTAAGAGGTGTCTAAAATGCCGGGAGCAAGGGGCTAGTAACCCCTTCTCCTGTATAAATTACTAAATGTAAAAAGAAAAACTTCTGTTTTTTCTTTTTGGTTTCTTTCACTGTAATTTATATTTCTCATAAGGAATAAATAATTTTAAATATTCTGGAAGGTAATTTGGGTAATGAGGATCATTTTACACACTATAGAACAAAAAACCCTTATCCTTCATCAAAGGAAAACAATAATGATATATATGATAGCAAAACCAACAGAATTTTGCAACAAATGTTTTAAATACTACATCCAAATCCTCTTAACACATTTAGGTGATTGATATGTGGAGAAGATTGAATATTACTCCATCAAGGAAGGCAAGGGAAGGTTGAACATTACATCACTCCATCAAGGAAGCCAGGGGAAGGCTGAACATTAGATTACTCCATCCTGGAAGGCAGGGGAAGGTTGAACATTAGATTACTCCATCCTGGAAGGCAGGGGAAGGTTGAACATTAGATTACTCCATCCTGGAAGGCAGGGGAAGGTTGAACATTAGATCATGGCATCAAGGAAGGTAGGGAAAGGTCGAACATTAGATCACTCCATCTTGGAAGGCAGAGGAACGCTGAACATTAGATCACTCTATCTTGGAAGGCAGGGGAAGATTGATCATTACATCACACCATCATGGAATGCAGGGGAAGGTTGAACATTAGATCATGGCATCAAGGAAGGTAGGGAAAGGTTGAACATTGCTTCACTCCATCCAGGAAGGCAGGGGGAAGGTTGAACATTATGTCACTCCATCAAGGAAGGCAGGGGAAGGTTGAACATTAATTCACTCCATCAAGGAAGGCAGGGGAAAGTTGAACATTAGATCATGGCATCAAGGAAAAGGCAGGGGAAAGCTGAACATTAGATCATGGCATCAAGGAAGGAAGGAAGGGAAAGCTGAACATTAGATCATGGCATCAAGGAAGGCAGAGAAAGGTTGAACATTGCTTCACTTTCTCAAGGAAGGCAGGGGAAGGTTAAACATTACTTCACTCCATCAAATAAAGCATCTAGTGTAATAATGCTGAATGTAATATTTTTTTTTTTCTGGTGATCTGGCTGCATCCCACAGAGGCAGGATGACCTAAAAAGAAAAACAAATGTTTCTCTTTTTAACTTTAGTAATGTATATAGAAGGGGTTACTAGCCCCTTGCTCCCGGCATTTTAGTTGCCTCTTATGACATGCATGGATTATGGAGGAAGAATTCTGTTCCACTTTCCCATGAAGATAAGTGGAAATAAACAAGAACAAGAACTAGTAAGAAAATAGAAGAAAACCCAGAGGGGTGTATTTTTTTTTTCAACACATTGGTCATCTCCCACCGAGGCAGGGTGACCCAAAAAAGAAAGAAAATCCCCAAAAAGAAAATACTTTCATCATCATTCAACACTTTCACCTCACTCATACATAATCACTGTCTTTGCAGAGGTGCTCAGATATGACAGTATCTGCATGTGTTGTATGACCTAAGTGTAAGTAGAAGTAGCAAGGTGTACCTGAAATCTTGCATGTTTATGAGACAGAAAAAAAGACACCAGCAATCCTACCATCATGTAAAGCAATTACACATTCCATTTTACACTGACTTGACAGGATGGTAGTGCCTCCCTGGGTAGTTGCTGTCTACCAACCTACTACCTAGGATTCTAATAATTCTTTCTTTCTTTCAACACACCGGCCATATCCCACCAAGGCGGGGTGGCCCAAAAGGAAAAACCAAAGTTTCTCCTTTCAAATTTAGTAATATATACAGGAGAAGGGGTTACTAGCCCCTTGCTCCCGGCATTTTAGTCGCCTCTTACAACACGCATGGCTTACGGAGGAAGAATTCTGTTCCACTTCCCTATGGAGATAAGAGGAAATAAACAAGAACAAGAACTAGAAAGAAAATAGAAGAAAACCCAGAGGGGTATGTATATATAAGCTTGTACATGTATGTGTAGTGTGACCTAAGTGTAAGTAGAAGTAGCAAGACGTACCTGAAATCTTGCATGTTCATGAGACAGAAAAAAGGACACCAGCAATCCTACCATCATGTAAAACATTTACAGGTTTCCGTTTTACACTCACTTGGCAAGACGGTAGTACCTCCCTGGGCGTTGCTGTTTACCAACCTACTACCTAGGATTCTAATAATTATACGTATTATTTAAAAGCATCTCACCATCCCATGCATCAAACATGTCATTGATGAAGTAATCAATGAAGCCAATCTGAGACTTGGGGATAGAGCACGTGGTGCGGTCAAACTGTGGCATCACAATCGGCAGGTTACGCTTCTTCTCCTCCTCTGTCTGTTGGAAAATAGAAAACTGCATGTTAGTTTATATAAAAATTTTCCTTGATGAGGATGAGTTTAGGAAACACATTATTCATTCATGAATATCATCTAATAGGCACAAGGAGGAGAAGTGTGAGACTTCAGACAGTAAGGTGGTTCAGTCATCCAAATTCATAAAATTTGATTATTCAACACTTTTGCTGAAATAATCTCACAAATAATTTTAATTTTTTACAATTTTTTTTTTTTGAAGGTGAAGTCTGAAAAGAACAATGCCTTTTTCGTCTACTGCAATATACAGAAAAGGTAATATTTAATGCTTAAACTGTCCAAACATAGATCTACGTTCACTCGCATAACACTCCGAATATTTAAAAAAAAAAAAAAAGTTTTTTTTTTTTTAAATGAAGAGTTCATTTTTCTACATGTTATAGGATAAAAAAAATTTAGGGTCAGTACTTACCAAGATATACGCCCGCGAAGTTGGCGCTGGATGCTCACCTGACAGCAACATCAAGTCCTGCCGCTTGTAGTGTTGCTGATATACCTTTTTTCTCATTTTTATTTTAATTTACATAATTTTTATTTTCTGATATTTACAATTTATAATAGTTCTTGTGATTTCATAGCCAATCTTTGTTTTGACACTAATACATATTAGGTACTGAAATAGTACTGAAATCTCTGTTCACAATAATGTTTACCACTGAATATATCATTGCTTAGTTTAATCTTAAGTTAATTTTAAGCGTGCCCATAATGCTCTGCATACGAGGGGCTTTGGCATGTTACACTTAACCACTGTATTTTTTTGTACTTCAATGTATTATGTTCAAATAAATAAATAAATAAATAGTCACAATCACTCCAACAGGTGAACATTTTCACCTGCCTTGGCCATTTACTATTGTCTAGAAATATATACAAAGTATTTACGTATAGGTCTCAGCAATGTTTTAGACACACTGGAGTATATATTAAACTCCTTGAAGCATGGTGTTATGATGAGTGTCAGTAAACTGCTGACAGTGCAGTGACACTTGATGAACGTGTACTGCTCCAGGGAACCCTGACTATTTGTGTCTGTCTGTCTGTCTGTATCTAGCTCTGCTTATCTGTCTGTATCTAGCTCAACTTATCTGTCTTTCTGTCTGCCTGTGTGTGTCTGTCTTCCCGTCTGCTTGTTTCTCTGTCTCTGGGAACAGCTTGTAAACCTGTTGGTTTATGAGCCGCTCCCTGATTCCTGAGCAAGTCTTATATCTATAAGCACTGTATAGCACTTTGCCTGGAATTTTGGGGTTATCCTAGGTAATTTACACTATGTATAATAACTGTACTTATGTGAACCTATAACAGAGATAGATATATAGACAGAGACAAATTGACAGAGACAGATACAGACAGAAAGATGGCGAAAGTCAGTCAGCCAGTTAGCCAGCCACCTAGCCAGCCAGCCTGCTGAATACCTATTACACATGTTCCAGAATCATTTCTCTTAGGGCATAGGTTATTGGACATTCTGGCAGGATGATACTACCAGTGGTATAAGAAATGAAAGGATGTTGCACAAATGTTGCAGAAGATTTTTTATATTTCCTCAACCACTTGCAGCCACATCCATCTCAAAGCCACTAAACTCTGGGTCAACATCAGTATTAATATGACATGACATCAGTGAATCCCTGGTGTTTGCCACGCCATTTGCTCTAGCTGGCGCTCAATTGAACTGGTGCTCCCACAAGGTACTAAGTAGTCCCAGATTTTTTATTTTTTTAATACTGCACACACTGAGTGTTAAGACCCATTCTATACTGACCAGGCATCTCAGGCCAATCATGCCAAATTTGGAGGCAGGAAAAATAAAACTTAGATCTACGTTTGGAGCACCAGCGGTACAAACATAAATCTACGTTTGGACAGTTTAAGGGTTAAAGTTATATGAAACAGTGTAGCCAAAACAATGTGCAATATGTTTGATAAAATGAGGTACAAATTCAATATAGTATAAGCATGAGGGCAACTATGCAGCAAAGAACTAACCACCTCACACATCAACATGGTGATCACATTCAACATTATATTTTGCTGTATCTTACTGCCTACACATGGCATATACTTAATTATGCATTACACATATTTCTTTTTGTTTTAAATTTTTAAGAGAAAGTGAGAAGCATATATTTCTTTTCTGCAGTATACAGATAATGCAGTTTACATGTAATAAAATATTGTTGGGTACAAAAGAAAGCCACTACCATGCAATGGTATTAATAAAGGAAAATACTTAAATTATATTATACAACTTTTTATTCACTTTTATAATACGTACTAATGGTTATTAATAGGTAAAAAAATACTCAAAGAGTATTCTTACCTGACTGAAGTATTCATTAGCGATGCGATGAGCCCAGTCACGGTACAAGTGAAGCGGACGAACTGGGTTACTTACATCGGCACACTTGATCATCATACGCTTGATTATAACTAAGTTTTCAGGAGTACCAAAGGACATCAGGTCAGGAGAATCTCTTGCATCCTACAATGATAATTAATTCATCTTATTTGCATTATACATCCCTTATGATGCAAGTTTACTGTATACCATATAAAAAATATTAAATTTTTAATTTTTATAATGTAACAAGTTATTTAATTATATATTAGTGTTATCCTCATTATTAGTTAGCCTTAGTACTGCACATAAATGACAGCTGTCAGAATGCACTTCCTGGTTGAGTGTTGTCTACTTGCCTCCAACATTTTTATAAAGAAGGGTCTCGCTTTACAGCGTTTTGCCTTACAGCATTCTGCTAATACAGACATTTCAAATTATGACCAAAACTCACCATACGGCTCCCCCACCTGACTTTCTAATACGGTCACTGCACCCCATCTGGTTTGTTTACTTTCTCTGTGAGGGTGAGCACCGCATCTCTCCATTATGTCTGGAAACTTTCCAAAATTTCAAGTGTTTAAAAGTTATTTCATGTTTCATATATATGTGTACTCTGATAATTATACTTATGTGTACATGTACCTTAATAAACTTACACATCGTGCTGGCATGCAGGTACACATTAAAATCACTAAGAGTGTCTTATTATTCTTTAGGATGCCATTTTAATAATGATAATAATAATAATAATACAAAATAATAATCATTTTGAGGTGCATTAACCCTTTCAGGGTCCAGAGGCTGAATTTCAAAGTGTGCACCAGGGTCCAAGAATTTTCAAAAAACAAATTTTGTTAATTTTTCTTATTGTAATAAAGTTGGTAGAATTACCGACAATATGTAAAGTAAAAGGACACAAGTGCAACTAATGTGACATTTATTGTAGCAACGTTTCGCTCTCCAGGAGCTTTATCAAGCCATTACAAACAATACATGGACACAGAGGGTATATAAAGGCTCAGAGTGAGGTGAATACTAGTGAGGTACCATTTCGATGTTCACTAGTGGTAGTAGTGGTAGTGACAAAAGCAATTAATTCGTACATGAGTAAAAGGATATAAAAGCTATTACTTGGGTAACATAAAAATAGGTTGGACAAATATAAACTGGAATGAGGCAGGTTGTTTCAGTGTTCACTCTCTGTGCTTTGTGTAGTATAACAGGAGAGACTATGTGATGGCAGGGTTTACTGTTTTCAGGAGGATTCTTGCTAAGACTTTGGAGATGGTGAAGCTGCCGTTGTTTTGTTTAATTGTATTCGAAACAGCGATCAGTGCTGATTCAAGGCACTTGCGTGTGCGGAAATTAGTTTCTTTTATCATAATTGGGCGTCTCTGAATTTCATAAGATGATTGGTGGAATTTCGGTGTTGTACACAGGCGTTGTTTAAGTTGTCGTTCCTACATGCGTATATGTGTTCATTGAGGCGGGTGTCGAGGTTTCTTGCTGTTTCACCTACGTATATCTTGTCACAGCCTCCACAGGGTATAGTGTAAACTCCTGCATTGACTGATTCGTGGTGCTTGGGTTTTGTCCTGGTTAGATCCTTTATTGAAGTGGTAGAAGCGATGGCGACTCTGGTGTTAGCTTGTGAAAGTACTTTTGAGACGTTTAGTGCAACCTGGCTGTTGGGAAGAATTATAACTTTGTTGGGAGCGGTGTTGATGCGTGGAGAATTGATGATCTGAAGAGCTCTTTTCTTGCAGTCTTTGATGAAAAAAGAAGGAAATTGTAACTCAGTGAATGTTTGGTGAATGTAAGTACATTCCTCGTCAAGAAACTCAGGACTACAAATTCGGTATGCTCTTAGGAAAAACCCGATGATGATGCCTCTTTTGGTCTTGGTATCTTGACTGGAATAGAAGTGTGTGAGATCATTTTTATTGGTGGGTTTCCGATAAACTTGAAATCTTAGGTTGTTGTCTACTTTGTGAAGGAGGACGTCGATCATCAATTCTCCACGCATCAACACCGCTCCCAACAAAGTTATAATTCTTCCCAACAGCCAGGTTGCACTAAACGTCTCAAAAGTACTTTCACAAGCTAACACCAGAGTCGCCATCGCTTCTACCACTTCAATAAAGGATCTAACCAGGACAAAACCCAAGCACCACGAACCAGTCAATGCAGGAGTTTACACTATACCCTGTGGAGGCTGTGACAAGATATACGTAGGTGAAACAGCAAGAAACCTCGACACCCGCCTCAATGAACACATATACGCATGTAGGAACGACAACTTAAACAACGCCTGTGTACAACACCGAAATTCCACCAATCATCTTATGAAATTCAGAGACGCCCAATTAGTGATAAAAGAAACTAATTTCCGCACACGCAAGTGCCTTGAATCAGCACTGATCGCTGTTTCGAATACAATTAAAAAAACAATGGCAGCTTCACCATCTCCGAAGTCTTAGCAAGAATCCTCCTGAAAACAGTAAACCCTGCCATCACATAGTCTCTCCTGTTATACTACACAAAGCACAGAGAGTGAACACTGAAACAACCTGCCTCATTCCAGTTTATATTTGTCCAACCTATTTTTATGTTACCCAAGTAATAGCTTTTATATCCTTTTACTCATGTACGAATTAATTGCTTTTGTCACTACCACTACTACTACTACTACTACCACTAGTGAACATCGAAATGGTACCTCACTAGTATTCACCTCACTCTGAGCCTTTATATACCCTCTGTGTCCATGTATTGTTTGTAATGGCTTGATAAAGCTCCTGGAGAGCGAAACGTTGCTACAATAAATGTCACATTAGTTGCACTTGTGTCCTTTTACTTTACAATTTTTCTTATGAAATGGTGGAGAATCTTTTTCTGAAGGTGCTAAAACAAAAAGTACGAAATTTGATGAAAAACTGATGAAATTATGCTCTCGCAAATTTTGATGTGTCAGCGATATTCACGCATCTACGATTTTGCCAACTTTGACTCCCATTTTAGGCCAATTACATTATTCCAGTCAACCAAATTCTTAGCTATTTCACTAGTATTACTTCTATTCTATCGACTGAGCACAAGAATTCGCCAAGTCAACTGTTTCAACTACAAAATAAAGTGATCAGAAATAGGTAATTTTGCCAATTTAATGCAAAGTTCAAAATACTCCAATTTCAAAATAGGATCCAGAATAAACAATGCAGGCATTCCTGGCACTAAACTAACATTTCCTCTGCTCATTAGTTACATTTTCAGGCTTTACTAATGAATTCCATTTTTATTTTTTATTCACATAATGAATTTTTATTCAAACCAAAAAAATATTAGATTTACTGTTATGAAATATTGTAATAATTGTATAAATAATATCACCACATTTGTGAACGTATATTAGACCCACCAGCAGGCGTGTATTAGACATGTGAGGTCATTTGTTTACTCTTGAACATCGGCAAAAATTTAACATTTCCACTACTTTGAGCTCAGTTTCAAGCTATTTCCAGTACTAAAACCAATCAAAATCATCTCTATTTCTGTAATATATCTTCCATTCTATCAAATGAGACCAAGAAATAACAAATACAACTATAAAAAACATACAAAAAACACTGCAAAGTCGCTGTTTTAATAAAAAATTATGGTCTCAGTTTTTCTCTCTCATTATGCACTATATGCTGCAGGATTTGTTTTATGTGGTGCACACATACCACATAAATGTATTCTCTCATATCTAGGCTAAAATTTACCGCTCACAGCTTATCAGAGTGAGCTGAGCTCATGACGTAGATCTACGGCTTGGACCCTCAACGTAAAGCCGTAGATCTACGGCACAAACCCTCAAAGGGTTAAATGTCATCTATTATGTTAATATAAACATTTTCATTAATCCATCTATGATATTTTTCCTAAATTATATAATAAGCATGCTCTGAAACATATAAACGTGATAAATTCACCCCACAGTAAAATAAATTAACAAAAATATGAGATGTTAGGTGTAGATGAACGTGTATGAACCAAAACCACACGCGTTCATCTGCTTGTTTACTTTCTCCGCGTCTCTCTCCTCTCTCATTTACTCATTCTCTCTCTCTCTCGTTCATTCGTTTTACCTCGTTTGCTCACCTCTCAACCTACATTAAGACTACAAATATTTTAAAGTAAGTAATGAGTGTACTGTACATGCATTTTATCACTCTAGGGCACTTTAAATATCGTAATACAGTAGACCCTCATACTACACGGACTTATTTGCCATGTTTTGGTTATTACACTATTGAAAAATTGCGGGAGGGGAAAAATCTGGAGTGTCGCCAGCAGGTTATTTCCCTAGCTTAGGCTGCTGCCTGGCTTTGGGTGAGACAACTGTCTCCGTGGGGCTGCACTGATCTTCAAAGCAGCAAAGGATTGCTTCACCTTGCTCCTTTGTGGTAATGCATCAGGTGATTTCAAGTGTAAGCCCATGGCTATTTACCACTCTAAGAATCCTTGTGCTTTGAAAGGTGTAGATAAAAACACCTTACCAGTAATTTGGAAGTCACACCAGTCAGCATGGGTGACAGAGGAAATATTTATTGATTGGTTTAAGCATCACTTTATTCCTGAAGTCAAGTTTTACCTGCACAGCAAGAACTTTGCACTCAAGGTTCTCTTCATTCTTGATAATTCCCGTACTCATCCAGCTTTGCTGAATGTGACCCATGTCAAAAATTTAATTTTTACCTCCAAATACAGCATCTTTAATACAACCACTGGATCGGGGAGTAAAGCCATTCAAGTGTAACTACACAAGAAGAGTGATGAAAAAACTAGTTGCATCAATGGACTCTGACTCCAAACTGGCAGTACCAAGCTTCTGGAATAATGTATAATGTACTGCAAGGTAAAAAAAAAGAGACAGATATCCGGTACAGAATTTATGCCCTTTCCAATATAACCATCGTCTTTAGTATCAGAACCTCAACCATCGACTTCTGCCGACAACTATCCACCACAGCCCAGTAGGGCCACACCATGCATCTCCACTCTCTTCACAATCACTGACATACACCAGCAACCACAATTTAAGGTAAAATATATTTCTGTTGCATTTGTAGTCTTAAGCAACAAAAACAACATTATCA